AAGGAATTACACAGTTTCCAGAATTAAATGATAATGCTAATACAACATGCCGGAACTGATGAGATACAGCGAAAGAAAGCAGTGTTATGAGGGAAATTTATAGTGATAAACTCCCATATAAGGGAAGCAGAGTAAGCTCAAATAACTTAATGTTGAACCTCATGCTTCTAAAAAAACAAGAGCAAGTCAGGCTCAAAGTTTGTATAAGGGAGGAAATTATAAAGATCAGAGCAGATATTAATACAATGGAGACTAAAAACAATACAAAGAATTAAATGAGTTGATTCTTTGAAAGATTAAATGAAATGGACAAATCCTCAGCCAACCTTATCAAAAAGAGGAAAGATAAGACTGTAATCCATTCAACTAGGAATCAAAAGGGTGAAGCTATAACAGATACTGCAGAAATCCAAAAGATCGTTAATATCTACTTGAAGAACCTGTATTCTAATAAAAGGAAAGCCCATCAGAATCACAGCAGACTTCTCAATACAAACCCTCAAGTCAAGGAGGATTTGGAAATGGAAAACACAGAGGAAATGGACAGAGTCCTGGATATACATGAATTAACAAAGCTGATGAGAAGATATAAAAATTCTAAATAAACCAATATCAGTCAATGAAATTGAAGATGTAATTAAAACCTTACCAACAATAAAAGTCCAGGTCCTGATGAATTCACTGATAAACTACAAGAAATTTAGAGAAGACTTAATGCCACTACTTCTCAAACTCTTTAATAAAATTGAAAGGGAAGAAATACTCCCAAAGTCATTCCTGGAAGCAAACTTTATATTGATATGAAAAAGAGACAAGGATCCAACCAAAAAAAGAACTACAGGCCAATCTCATTAATGAACACAGATGCAAAAATCTTCAATAAGATATTGACAAACAGAATGCAGCAAATCATCAAGAAGATTGTACACCATGACCAAGTGGGATTCATCCCAAGATACAGGGATGGTTCAACATATGCAAATCAAAAATGTAATATACCATTAACAGAGCCAAGGACAAAAACCATATGATTGTATCAATAGATGCAGAAAAAAATGTTCAACAAAGTCCAATACTCATTTGTGATGAAACCCCTACCGAAACTTAGATGTTTTTTATCTCAATCTAATAAAAGCCATCTATGACAAACCAACAGGCAACATCATACTAAGTGGACAAAAACTGAAAGCTTTCACTCTAAAATCAGGAGTAAGACAAGGACGTCCACTGTCACTACTCTTACTCAATATAGTTCTGGAAAGATGAGCCAGAGCAATCAGATAAAAGAAAGGATAAAAGGAATAAGGATAGGAAAGGAGGAAGATAAATTATCATTATTTGCAGATTTATACGCTACATGGAGGATCCCAAAAACTCCACCAAAGATTTTGGATTTTTTGTAGATTTTTTCTTTTTTTGTCTTTTTGAGATAGGGTTTTGCTCTGCAGTTGAGGCTGACCTTGAGCTCACTATGAAGGACTTTGAACTCGCGATGTAGCCCAGGATGACCTCGAACTCACAGCAATCCTCCTGCCTCAGCCTGCCAACGTGCTAGGACTATGGGCATGCACCACCATGCCGGGCTCAAGTCTTCTAGATTTAATAAGCAAACCTAGTAGCATAGCTGGATACAAAGTCAACACTCATAAATCAATAGCCTTTCTGCACACAAATAACAAACTCACTGAGAGAAATACTAGGGAAACAACACCTTTCACAATAGCATAAAAAAATGAAGTACCTAGGAATCAATCTAATATAGAGAGTAAAAGATCTTTACATTGAAAACTACAGCACTCTGGAAAAGGACACTGAAGAGGATATCAGAAAATGGAAAGATACTCCTTTTCTTGGGTAGAAGAACCAATATAGTACAAATGGCCATGCTCCCAAATTTGTTATACAGATTTAATGCAATCCTGATCAAAATTTCCTAAAATACATTTGTGACCAGAAGAGACCTAGAATAGCAAAGGCAATTCTGGACAACAAAGGCAAAGCCGAGGGCATCACACTTGCCGACTTTAAACTGTACTACAAAGCTACTGTAATTGAAACAGCATGGTACTGGCAAAAAAACCAAACCAAACCAAAACAAAACAAACCCAGACCTGAGGACCAGTGGAACAGACTAAAAGATGGAGAAACAACTTGAGACACACTCAGCCACCTTATCTTTGACAAAGGAGCCAAACATGTTCACTGGGAGAAAGATAGCCTCTTTAATAAATGGTGCTGCAAAAACTGGCTTTCCACATGCTGAAGATTAAAACTAGACTCGAATTTTTCACCATGCACTAAATTAAAATAAAAATGAATCAAAGATATAAATATTAAAACATAAACACTAAATCTGCTGGAAGATAGAACAGGTAGAATTCTTTTTCTGTCTTTTGGAGACAGGGTCTCTCTATGCAGTTCAGGCTGGCCTTGCACTCACTTTGTACCCCAGGCTGGCCTCGAACTCGCAGGGATCCTCCTGCTCAGCATTCTGAGTGCTGGGATTACAGATGGGCATCACCACGCCTGGCTAGAACAGGTAGAATTTTTGAAGACATTGGTATAGGCAAAGACTTTATGAACAAAACCCCAGTCACACATGAACTATCAGAGAAAATCAACAATTGGGACCTCATCTTTTTTTTTTACTTTTTTTGGCTTTTTTCCAGTACCAGGAATCAAACTCACGACCTCGTGCTTGCCAGACAAGCACTGTGCCGCTGAGCTAAATTCCCAGCCCCAGGGGACCTCATCTTATTAAAAAGTTTTGCACAGCAAGAAAAACCACTAGCCAGGTGTAGTGGCTCACCTCTGTAATCCCAGCACTCGGGAGGCTGAGGCAGGAGGATCGTGGCAAATTTGAGGCCAGCCTGGGCTACAAGGTGAGCTCAAGGCCAGCCTGAACTGCATAGGGAGACCTTGCGTCAAAAAAGACAAACGGGAAAACAAAAACAAAAACAAAAACAAAAAACACCAACAGAACAAAGAAACAACCCACAGTGTGGGAAAAATTTTTTCCAGTTTTTTCTCAAAGGACTAATATCTAGAATATATAAAGAATTAAAAAAATAAGACCCCTCAAATTTAGAATCAATCCAAAAGTTGACATCTATAAGGAATAGACACTTAATAACAATATGCAATGTATTAACCATTGTTACCCTATTAACTTGTTTAGAAAATTTTTTTCTCTTTAAAATAAAAATATAAATAAAATGAATAGATGCTTCTCAGATGAAGCAGTAGAAACAGCAACATATTAAAAAATGTTCAGTATCACTAGTCATTCAAGAGATACAGATTAAAACAATGCTGAGGTTCCATCTCACCACAGAAAGAATGGCCATCGTAAAGAACACAGCCAATAAATGCTAGAGGGCCGGTGGGGGGAAAGGAACCCTTCTCACTGTTGGTGAGAGTGTAGGCTGCTCCAACCTCTGTGGAGATCAGTGTGGAGATTCCTAAAAAAAAAACTAGGATTAGAGGTCCCATTTGACCCAGCTATTCCCCTTCTTGGTATCTTCCTGAAAGAATTAAAGGCATCTTACCTCACTGATATACGTGCACCCACATTTACAGCAGCACAATTTATAACAGCTAAATCTTGGAAACTGCCCAAATGTCCTCAATTGAATGGATAAAGATGTGGTTCTTTTATACAATGGAGTACTATCAGACGTAAAGAAGAATAAGCTTGAGATATTTCTAGGTAAATAGATGCACCTTGAGACAATACTCTGTTTTGTGTGTGTGTTACTGGGAATCGAACTCATGATCTTGTGCTTGTCAGACAGGTGTTGTGCCACTGAGTTACATCTCTGGCCCATGAGACCATACTCTTAAGTGAAATAAATTGGATATATGTATGTAAATACCACATAGTTTCTCTGGCGTGAGAAACTGAAAGTGTAAGCAACGACCATTTAATAGGTACTGGGAAATGGGGAGAAAATGCTCAAATGGAAAGGGGACTGAGGGAGGTGTGAAGGGGAGGAAGGGAAACAGAAAAAACGAGAAAAGGAGGAAAAAATGGAAACAAAGTTTTTGTAATTAGGGAGAGGAAGTGGACTAAAGGGAGTGTAGGGGAATTGGGAAAAAAGAATCAAGATCTATCCTGCACAGGTACAAATTCCCTACGATGAATGTGATCTTTGTGTATACCTAAAATGTACCAATAAACTTAGTTAATTAAAAAAAAAAAGTAAGGAAGAGTATTTTGAGGGAGGTTAGTGGCAATGTATCTTTTACTGTAATACACATCTTTTCGTTTTTTGAGACAGGGTCTTGCTATGCAGTCCAGGCTAGCCTTGAACTCCCTGTGATCTCCCTGCCTCAGCCTCCGGAGTGCTGGGATTACAGGTGTGTGCCACCATGCCTGACTGTAATACATATTTTAAAATTTAAACCATTCGGGGGCTGGGGATTTAGCTCAGGGGCACAGTGCCTACCTGGCAAGCGAGAGGTTGTGAGTTCGATTCCTGATACCAGAAAAAAACAAAAACCAAAAAAAATAAAATAAAATTTAAACCATTCATTATATATTTCAATTATACCTTATATTTAAAGTTGGTGTCTTGTAGGCAATATGTAGGTGGCTTTTTTTTGAAATCCACTTTGACAATCTTGTAATTGATGCATTTAGATCATGGAAATTTAAAGTGGTTATTGGTAAAGGTGGGTCAGTATCACCATGTTTGTCACAGTTTTATGTTTGTTTCCCTTGTTTTTGATCTTCCACTCTTAGCTTCCTGTGATTTTAACTGAGTAATTTAAGATTCTGTTTCTTTCCCTTAGTACATCAGTTATACTTATCTTAATTTGGTAGTGCTTGCTCCAAAATTTGCAGACTTTTACAACTAATCCTAGTCTACTTTCAAGTTACACTATCTTACTTTATGAGTAATGCAAGCTCTTTATAATTAGACTAACCCAAATCCCGCCCTTCTGTGCCTGGCCTCGTTACTGTCATCTGTTTCACTTATACACATAGACACAAAATATATTACATTATGTTTCACTTAATAACCTGTTATATGGTAGATCAACTAAAATATTTTAAAAAATAAGTGTTTTTATTTCACTTCCCCCTTTTCCATTCTTGAAATGCTCCCTTTCATTATGAAATCCTGATCTTTCTCTCTGAACAACTTCGAAGATTTCCAGCAAGGCCTCTCCGAAAACTCTCCATCTCTGTCTGTCTGAGGAAAGCTTTACTTCTCCCACCCGTTTGAAGGGCAGCTTCACAGGACTCAGACTTCTAGGTCGTGCGTTTTACTTCTCTTTAACACCTTCCTGCATTCTCCTTGCTTGCATGGCTCTCTGAAGCCAGACGTGCTTATGTTTGCTGCTCTGTAAGTAAAGTGGTCTTTTATTCTGGCTTCACGTTTTTTCCCATTTGAGTTCTCCTATTTTTGCTTTTGAATTTGCTATGCATAGGAGTAGTTTCGGCATTTGTCCTGCTTACTGCCCTAAGAGTCTTGGATCTGCGGTTTTGTATTTCACGTTAACTTGGGGAAATTCTCAGTCATTACCACCTCAAGAATTTCTCTTCGTTCCTTCTCCTTTTGGTCCGCTCATTATGTTGTAATTTGTAGTCATCCCACAGTTGAGTGTTCTGTCCTCGTTTCACATTGCTCCATCTGCCTCTGTTCTGGAAATTTCTACTGTCATACCACCCAGCTCACTGGCGCTCTCCAGCCTACTGACGAGCCGTCGGAGGTCCTCTTCACGACCGTTAACGGTGCTTTCAGTCTTCCTTAGTGCGCACTTTCCTCGTTATATTACTCACACGTCCTTGTGCACTGTGGACTTCAGCATAAGAGCCATTATCATATTCATTGTAGCTTTTGCAAAATGTTGGCCTGGTAACTCCCACACTCCCACCACACCCGGCTCTGGCTCTGATGCTGGCTCAGTCTCTTCCGTCTGTACTTTGGACCTTCTAGCATGCCTTTCAGTTTTGTGTTGAAGAGTGGACGTGACGTGCTGGGCGGGGAGCACTGCTGCACACAGGGTGTTAGTGAGGTGGTGGTAGCGTGTTGCGGGGGGTGCTGTTTTTTAGGCCCATGACAAAGTCTCTCACAAGTGCTTGTCAGGCCTCCGCGCCCCTTGTGTAGGAATGGACTGCCAGAAGAGCATGGAATTGGGCATCTCCTTTCCTGCAGGGGTCAGGCCCTGCTAAAAGTTTCATCTGAGCCGGATCTTGGAAAGGACCCAGTGGGGTACTTTGAGGTTGCCACTGACACCTCCCCATCAGGAGTCAAAGGGATCTCTGACCACCTCTGCCATGAGAACCGGGCTGAGTGCTGGGAGGAGCGCTTGCAAGAGGCCAGGGTCCCCTTCCTCTCTCAGACGTGCGGTCAGCCCCCAGCCACTTGTCAAACATGACTCAGGGTCTTTGCCGAACTCCGGCCCGTGAGGGACTCTATCCTGGGCTCCCGCTCCAGTGCGGGGAAAGCTCTCTACCGCTGCCCTCCCGGTGTGGGGGACCAGTGACGTGCGTTTCCAGGCAGACCGCGGAGAGGGGGTGTTCCACCATGTTCAGCTCCTTACTGCCCGGGCAGAAGGGTGATGCCAGTGTCCTCAAAGGTTTACTGGACAGGGCAAGTTGTGACTGCTTTCTCAACTCCATTTTTTTCCTTTTTGATAAAAACGATGACGGCAAGATGCCATCACAGGTTCAGATTGTGGAAAGGAGAATTTTGCCCTAAAAAGCGGCCTGGCAAACCCTCTTGAATACCAGACTAGAAGAAACACATAATGAGGCTGTGGATATAGCTCAGGGGCACAGCGCCTGCCTGGCAAGTGCAAGGTCCTGAGTTTGATTCCTGGTACAAAAAAAAAAAAAAGAAATGCATAACGAAATACGGAGCATTTGGAGAGGCCGGGCACAGAAGGACGGGGCCCGTCACAAGCCTGGCAAGTGAGAGGGCACGGGCAGCCCCCACTCCAACAGTGTGTCCCCGGAGAGTGAGGGGACTCAGGGTTCCACCGAGTCTCGTGATGTGAACGAGACCCCCACAGCGTGAGCCCTGTCGCAGCGTACCCACACCACGCTGCACCTCCCAGTCCTGCCCTGTGACACTGACCTGGCCCTGTGCACCCGCGCCAGCTGGCCGGCCAGGCTGCCCAGCAGCTCCCTCTGCTGGCTGTGTGCTCTTTACGGTGGGCACGAGGTTAGGTCTGGGCACAGAAGCACGATGTCTGTTTCTTGAGACAGGGTCTCACTACATAACCCAGGCTGTCCTCGAACTTGCAGCAATCCCCCTGCCTCAGCTTCCTGAGCGCTGGAATTACAGGCATGGGCCATCACGCCTGGCAGGGCATTACGTCAAGTGAGCCTCCGTGACTGTGCTCCTGCTTGCAATGCTTGGCGGTATCCCCGGCCCTCAGGGCCCAGCCCTTCGCTCGGTCCCATGCTGGTCCCTGTGCTTGCCCTGCTCTCTGCCTCCCCTCCCAACCCTGGCTGCCCTTGCCCCGCTCTGCAGGCGGCTCTCCCTGGGCCACAGGGACAGGGGCCCAGCATGCTGGGTCTGACGCTCCCCTTGTGAAGGTGCACAGCCCTCTCCCAGGACAGACTGTCATGCAGGCACCCCACTGTACCCCAGCACAGGGTAAGCTCCCTCTGCTGAGCAATGACCAGGGCCCACTTGGCACACCACCGCTCCCTCACAGGGTGTCCCCAAGAGCCGTTCCCACCCACCCTGCACCTGAGACGCACCTGAAGGGCAGCTCCAATCTGCTTCCTGCAGGGCACCTCCCTGGACCTCATCCTACAAGCTCCCAGCTAGGCCCTCAAGCCTGGGATCCTCGTGTCCGAAGAGCCATACCCAAAGGCCCACAGCCCACACGCTTTTTGCAAGGAACCTTGGGTCCTGCCCCTTGCCCTCTGAGGGCCCAAGGCCGCACGCACCAGCCACACGCTGCCAAGGTGACCCTGCCACCCGCACGCCCACACCACAGCAGCGAGCAGCAGCCAGGTGGCCAGAGCGTGGGCCACATCCGTGGCCGGCTTCAGGACCACGGTGGACGATCCTGCGACACGCTCCCTCCCCGAGCCCCCAGGCAGGTGCTCTTTCGAGGTCTGCACCCGCTCCTCTCTGACCTGTGCGGGAGACGGTGCTGGAGGCTTCGACCGTCTTCCAAGGCTAATGCACAGCAGGCCGAGTGAGCTGTAAGAAGCGGGGTGCCCCACACTCCGGGGTGAGGTGGAAAGGCTGGGCGTGGCAATGCCCTCCCACTGGCAGAGCTGCCGGCAGCCCAGGCCATCGTCTGGGAAGCGATGGTGTGAGACCCTGCCACCCACTGGTGACCCCACCAGTGCCACGGCAGGAGTGGATTCATCGTGCGGGCAGACCTCCACACATAATACTCGATGGAGTTACTTTCGGCAAGTCTCACAAGGACTGGCCAGCGTTCAAACCACAACGCCGGCTCATCTGTAAGTTTTACTGGGCTCAGCTCGGGAGGCCGGGGAGCCCGACAGCACGACGCTGACACTCGGCTGCCTGGTCACACTGCTGCATGCTGCAGGCCCTGCAGGCCCCACAGCCGGCTGCTAGCCCAGCCCTTCCCCCCTGACGCCATGGGGGACCCTCCCTCTCTGCCCCTCCTCAGACCCTGCTCACATGTACCAACATGACTAACACACGGGTCAGACCGACCCACCTTCAGCAAACACAGTCCAACCTCAGCGGGGAGACGGGGGCTCCGAGAGACGGACATCCCAGACGGCTGGAGAGGGCGCACAGCCCCAGCCTCTGCACTCGCTGTCCACAACTGCAGGGTCCGAAGCCTCGCGTGGCTGCAGACCCTGGTCCAGCCGTGACTCACTGCCAGTGCCCCTCTTTGGGTCTCCTGGGCGGCTGGCTACATCCCACACTGTCCCCCTTGCCAGGAAGCTCCCCTGGAGCCTCCTCCAGCAGCAGACACAGCCTCCTGCAGGCCCAGAGCCGGGCATGGAAGGACACAGCGGCATCAGCGAGCCCGGCACGGTGCAGCTTTGCCCAGGCTGCCCGCCTCTCTCACCCCGCAGTGAGGGGCCCGGGGCTCCTTGCGGGCGAGGCGCTTGCCCCACATGCACAGGGAGGCTGTGTGACGGTGAGTGCCCGTCACACACCCCCACATGCACGGGGGCTCCGCGGCTGGCACGGCTCCTTCCTGCCGAGGTCTGTGTGCTGCTGTGGGGTCGGGAGGGCGTCGCTGTGGAGTTCCCAGCCTCCTACGCCCTGCCTCCTCGGCACAGGAACTGTGCTTGAGGGGCATGCAGCGCACACCTCCGCACACGTCTCCTGTGCACGACAGCGGCCAGGGCAACTGCTTCCCCTCTCCTCAATGGCATCGTTTTCCCACTCCGATCCCCTCTTGCAGCTCCTCTGAAAAACGCAGTACGTGGCTTGCTGCAGCCACCCTGTAACCCCGCTTCGTGGCACCTTTCCCTCGCCCCTCCTCCCGCCCGCCCGGTTGGGCCCACGTGGAGGGGAGGACGGCGTGGCAGGTGCACTCTGTGGAACGCCTCTCGGCCCCAACAAGGGTGCGTCCTGCCACTCCTAACAACGTGGGTGTGCCTGGAGATAGCCGCTGAACGGTGCGAGCAGGCCGCAGGAAGGCCAGTCCTTGTTCCTCTGTCAGGCACCTCAGCCGCCGCCCGCGACCCCAGCTCGGAGAGGAGGTGGGGCAGGCAGGGAGGCCTCAAGGCCCATAGCGCAGGGCGGGGCAGTGTTCACAGCCGCTTGTCGGGATTCCAAGAAGAACTGGGTGGGAGCGGAGCCGCAGAGGCCCCAGTGCCAGGGTGTGGTCAGTGTCGGGGGTGGAAACACCTCTCGCCCTGCTAGCATCGCTGTGTGCGCACAGGTGTGGCTGTCACATGACTCGTGCCTGTCACTGTGTGTCCACTAAATCTGTGAACGGCCACAGGCCTGCTGGGCGGGGCTGGAGGGAGACCCCCAAAATAGGGCCCTTGACGCCTGCACGCCCTGGAAGCACGTGCAGCAAGGACGCGCGTCAGCGGTGCTTGGAGCCTGCTCTGCCTGCACCCTCCTTGCTCCCGGGGCCTGGGCAGCGGTCAACTCGGGGCTTGTGCCTCTGCTCCTGGGTAAAGCGGGGTGGTGCTGCCGGCTGCCCTGGACATGCGCTGGGCAGTTACTCAGCAGGAGACGAGGGCCACCAGAGGGACAGGCGGGGACACAGGGCCCGCGCTGCTGAAGCGAACCCGGGACAGGCAGTCACACCTGCCTCCCAAGGACTGCAGTCTTTCTCCAGTGCCTCGGGAGCAGGAAAAAGGTGCAGACACAGACTTGGACAGTGGAGCACACAGCCGCAGGCAGCAGGCGTGAGGGCTGTGCACACTGCCGTTGGCTGCAGGGCCCCACCCCGGCCAGCCTCCGGCCTGAGCAAGGGACACACAACGCCAGCGGCAGCCGCCTTGTAGTCAGGTGCTCCTAGGCCAGCCGCTTCATGCGCCGGATGTGCTTGTCCGTGGTCAGGGTGGCATGCTCCACAGCGGTGGTGATGCCGTCCAAGGCCACGTCCTGTCGCTCCAGCTCTGCCTCGGTGTCCAGCGCCAGCCCTTTCAGCTTGCTCAGTATCTGGGGAGAAGCAAAAGGACCTCAGAGGCAGCTTCCATCCAGGCCAGCGAACACACATCCTTCCCTCCAGGAGCCGACAGAGCAGCGCCAGGGCCGGGCCTCAGGGCCAAGGGCCCAGCTCTGCGGTCCCAGATGCAGGTGCCCGCTAGCCGCCCCCCACGTGGCCCCCACCTCATGGGGACTGTCCCCGGTGTGGCGTGGGGTGTCCCCACTCCTGCCCCCGGGAGGTGAGAAAAATAAGACTGAGCGGAAGAGCAGGGCCCTGTCCCCGAACGTGCGACCATGCCACATGGAACACCTCACACCGCACGGCAGTGTCCTGACCAGCGACTGGTCCCGTAAGACTACAACGGGACCTGGTGACGTTGGTGCGTCCCGTGTCACAGCACAACGCAGCCTTCCACCTGCAGTGAACTGCCGCCAGCTGGAGGGAGGGCAGCACAGACTGTGAGCAGCAGGTGGCGCACAGGCGGCTGCACCACGCTCCGTCCCGCCGCCGGAGCCGCCCTTCTGCTGCACAGAGCCCAGCGCAGGCAGCGCGGTGCCCACACGGCGCCTCTGGGCGGGCTCCCTGGCTGAGGCCTGAGGTAGGGCCTCACAGCACGCAGCACGGCAGGAGCCGCGGGAGCACCTGTGCTCCCCATGGAGTCCTGCCCACGGAGTGACACAGGCCCAGCAGGACGGTCACTGCGTCACTGTGCAGCGCTGTGGTAATGGGAGCCCTGGGTTAAACCTTCACAGACTCAAGCTGATGACGAAAGAGAAATCATTGTAAAACGACAGCGATGACCACTGTGACGTGCGAACACCCCAAGGGCAGCGCGGACAAACTTCAGCTCTCCACAACGGGACCAGCCCGCCCGGCACGAGAGCCATGGGCGCTCCACTGGTGCTGTAGGGGCAGCTCCGGATTCCCGGCCCCTGCTGCCGCTGCGGGGGAGGGCTCTCGAGTGCAGGGCCACTCTGCTCCCCCACAGGGGCTCCACTCACCTCGGCAGGAGAGGTGATCCGGAGTCAGAGGAGCACCCAATCCCAGCTAGCCTCAGCCTGATGGGGAGACCTTGGCCCCCGTCTGTGTCTGACCAACAAGCACCAAAACAGAGGCAGGGAGCCCAGGACACAGGCCTGACCTCTGTCCCAACAGCAGGCGGGACAGGCCTGTGAATGGCGGAGCCCACAGCTGCCCATGGCCCGCAACCTGCACCAGGCCAGAGCCACCGCCTTGGGGCGGGGGTCGCAGATTCCTCCGCCACGGAAACTCCTACACTGAGTCATCACTGAGAACCTGGCCTCGGCTCTGGAAAGTATCAGCAGGGTCAGCAGCCCCGGGGGTGGCGGCTGACCTCATACAGTAGGTCTTTTCCATCTCCTGTGCCGATGACCTCACATGGCAGCTGCCCAGACAGCACCGTCAAGAAGAAAAATAAAGCCCAGCCCACGGCCACGGGAGACCAGGCCCTCCCTGCCACCTTCTCCGGTTAAAGACTGTTTTCTCACTCACTCCCCTCTTGGTGAGGCAGGAAGGCGCTCTTGCCAGGAGCGGCAGGAAGGGATGGCCCCTGCCACCCAGCAGTGTCACCTGACGTCCCCGACAAGGCCCCCCAGCCTCGGCCAGCCGGGCCACACACAGCCCTGGCAGCCCCTCCGCCGGTTCTAGTGCCCCGTCACTCTGAAACACGATCAAGTTCACAGCCCCGCACAGGGTCTCGTTCCAGCCTGCGAAGGGCCGTGCGCGACGCCCGTGCGCGCACGAGCCCAGAAGCGCCGTGGCCAGCTCTGTCTGTGTGTGCACTCTGTGATGTTCCCAGGACGACGCCAGGCTGTTCCTAAGCGACACGTGACTGTTGGTACTGAGATACCCTCTGGGTGTGCGGCTCCGACCCGCGTGCCGCGGCCTCTGCACACAGGAGCAAACTGGGCCTGCAGCCACGCAGCCTGCGGGAGGGCCGGCCCCACCAGCACCGGGGCACATCGGCCTCGCTTCTCTCCTAACGCGAAGACGGCAGGGAGGAAGCAGCGTGCGTCGCGGGACGGCGACGGCTGAGCACCCTGCTCTGCAAACCCCAAATCTGCAGCTTTGCGTGACACCTGGTCCTGAGCGTTCCAGAGCAGGGCGCTCAGCCGCTGGTGTCCCGTTTCTCCTCTCTGTGCCACATGCTCTCACAGAAGACAGAAACATGGGATCGCAGCGCACAGTGCGTACTGGATTTTCACGCTCCAGCCTTCCTGCAGAGGCTCGGAGTGCTGGCAGCTGTGCGGCGCACCTCAACACGCTCCCACAGCTCCACACATTCTACCTCAGATCACCCTCTCTAACTGCTTCACAGTGAGAGTGCTGGACGCGGCCCCGAATTGGGCCCGCTGGGCTCAGGCAGACCCAGCTCCTGACTCACAGCAAGCGGGCCCCTAAGAGCAACTGCACGTCCCTGGAACCGGGACGAGGGCCTCGTGGGTCTGGGACACCAGGCTTCTCAGCCCAGATGTCCGCAGAGCTGTCTGTGGAAAGGCCGACACCACGGCATCCACACACCCGGACTAAGGAGGGGAGACCTGAGACTCCAGAGTCAGCAGCAGCAAGGACGTGCAGGCTCATCACCGTCGCCATCTTGCTCGCCAATGCGGCTGGGCCGTAAAGCACACTTCCGGGTGTGTCTGTCTGGCCAGGGGTGTGTCAGCTCAGGGGCTAGTCCTGGTCCCCCCCGCCCCATCCTCTTTGGCTTCTTTCCTGTTCTGCTTCCTGGCTGCCGCACCCTCCAGGAATGATGCTTCGGCCATGGAGCTGGCTGACCGTGTCCATGACCTCGTCCTCCTGTAAGTTGTGGGTATTTTCTTTGTGATTCTTTTTTTTTGGTACCAGGAATCGAACTCAGGACCTTGTGCTTGCCAGGCAGGTGCTGTGCCAGTGAGCTACATCCCCAGCCCAGCTGTGGGTATTCTGTTGCAGTGATGGACAGCTGACCAGTGCAGTACTTACAGAGTCCTGGGGATGCTAGAATGGCAGGCTCGATTTAACACACGCTAACGAGGACAAAGAGTGCCAGCCACTGGGAAGCTGGGCCACAGGGCCACAAGGCCACCGATCCAGAGGCCATCTCCTTGACAGACGTCCTGTGTTCCCACAGTTCCATCTCCAACCTCTTGAAACGCTGTATGAACTGCCCTTTCCCTATACACAGTGAAACTAGAACACAAAGAAGAGCTGGTGTAGTCCCTGGTCTTCACTTACTAAGCAGAGCAATGACATGCACGTTCACTAACCTGTGGCCCAAACCAACTGCCTGCTTATGAAATTTCGGGCATTTTACTGTATGAAACCTAGCAGTCAAGGCTGGTTGCTATTCACCTTTTGATTTGGAAACAGTCCACTGATTTTTCAGCCTTAAAAACAGAACTCACTTCAAACAGCCTGTTAAGAACCTTGGCCTGGCTGCCAAAATGCACTTGAAATTAATTAATACTGAGAAAATTGAAAAGAGATCTTTATAGCTATTAGATCAGCAGACAAAGAAAATGAGTGAGTTAACCTTCAAAGCACCAGTGCCTCTGGAATGCTGGTGGCCTTTTTCCTTTAAGAGCGGCTGAAGTAATTAAATAGGCCGTGCACATTCCGTGCAGCAGGGGATGGAAAGAATGGGGCTCGTGAAGTCTGGCCAAACCCAGGGAACAGTTGTTGCTCTGTGGCCCAGGATGACAAGCTGTCTAGTCGTCAGCACCGACGCTGCCAGCCTCTGCAACACCCAGGGGCCTCCCCAGAAGCCCTCGCTAGCTGTGAGTCAAAGGGCAGCCTCAGAGAGGACGCGGCCCAAGTCCCCGGCACACGGATAAACAAACACGGTAACCAGGAAGCAGCACCTATGCAGGAACCACCTGGCTGCAAGTCCTGTGGGCTGCAGAGAGAAACTGACAGCGCACACAGCAGGGCAGCACAGGGAGGCGTGTGGCGCGAGCTGGACAGGCTTGGGAGAAACCGCAGGTGCAGAGGGCGCTTTGGCTTGTGGCGGTCGGGTGCCCGCACACGGTAGGTGGCAAGCACCACTCCCCAAGAACAACAGGAACCGGCTTCCCTCAGTGTCTGTGGCAGGGAAGCGGGGACGGCCTGGGTGACTCAGGCAGAAGTGGAGACACAAGGCGAGCAAACGACGTCCGTGAAGGATGCCCACAAAGGGCATAAACTGCCCTGGCCCCCAGGGTGGCTCAGGGCCACTTTCTTCCTCTGCGACCCTGAGGAAGGCTCTGGGCCCTCTGGCCTCGCCAGCCGCCGAGGTCCCTGAGGATGCGTAGAGCAAGGGCCCACTCCCCTGGGGACACCCCGGCTCCTTGCGGGAGTGACGTCCTGGGTGCACCTTGAGAGCAGACAAGGAGGCTCAGCCTCCTCCCACTTCCATGTCTGCAGAGGCGGGAAGTAAATCACGGGGACCCCGTGTACTGGGGCCGTGTCCCCAGCCAAACAGCTGCCTGGATGTGCGCACCATCAAGGGCCAGGCTGTGCGTCTGCGGCCTGTCACGTGCAGCACCCACTGCTGCAGGACCCAGGGCAGGGGACACCCCACACCCCCAGAGGCACAGCCAGGTGCGAGTGGCTCCCTGCACAGGTCTGCCTGCCACACCACCCGGACCCTGGGCATGCCCGTGTAGTGCTTGCACCGCGGTGAGGTCAGCAGGCTGTCTGCCCTGTGCAGTGTTATGCTGACTCATCCAGAAACAGAATTCTCCTGCAGTGAGAAATTAGCAACCATTTAGGACCAGAGCTGGGAAAGATCAAGCTGTCTGCAGCTCTGAATGGTTCTACCAGGTGGGGCCGTCCTACACTGTGGGAGGGTGAGGAGGAAGTGGCTTGCACAGCAAAGCGGGGGAGTGGGGTGGGGGACACGGCAGGGACACCCTGCTGCGACCCTCGGTGTGGTCCACTCCTGCGCTCCTGGGGGCCCCAGCGGGGGGACCCTGGCTGCAGTGCCCACGTGGAGGGGACTCAGAGAAGCTGGTAGCCTGGGTCTGCGAGA